TAAAACAACCTTTGGGCTGATCTAAGTCAGGGCAGGGCTAACTCACAGATTGAACCATAAAACAACCTTTGGGCTGATCTAAGTCAGGGCATGGCTAACTCACAGATTGAACCCTTAAACAACCTCTGGGTTGATCTAAGTCAGGGCATGGCTAACTCACAGATTGAACCCTGAAACGACCTCTGGTCTGATCTAAGTCAGGGCAGGGCTAATTTACAGATCAAACCCAAAGCTGCATCCATGAACCAAGTCTGAGACCTAGATGTACACTGGCACTACACCACTTTCTCCACTTGATAAGACACACTGAGGCAAGTAAAACACAAAAAATAATAAAATTTGCTCAAAAAATAAAATTAAAGCTATAATTGGAATAATAAACCTGCAGAACCTGAAGTGTGTACATAAATATTTTAATGAAAAAATTGTTTCTGATTCTGAAAACCAGGTGAAAATAGATTCCTGTTTGTGACCTAATGAGAAAATTAGAGAACCCTTGTCAACTACAATGCATTGCGCCCCTATATCATTGTTTACATCATCTGTCTACATCATTCTCAAAGCTCTTCCATGCACTGGTGGAATAAAAGTGCAAATTTGCCATGCCAAGGTCTTCAAATACACAAGTTTCCTTCCTTTTATTCCACAGCAAGTACGTTAAATTTTTCAGAGAGATTCTCTTTGAGAAATTATGAGGTTTTGGTCATCCAACTGTTAGACATCGTAACTTTAGAAATCTAYCTTAGATTGGTTGCCAAAATTTAAAAAATCTCATGAAAAGCATAAAATCACTATGTTACTATCATTATCTATGATTATCTTAAAACATCTAGCAGGAATAACAATAGCTTGATAGAACKGGATTTTTAAACTCCACCTACATTGAAAATGCCATTTTGCCAGGCAGAGAAAACGGCCAATTGTTTTGATTCTGGCTCACAATGCATTGTAGTTGACTAGGATTCTTTAAAGGCAAAAAAAAAAAAAAAAATTAAATGCCTTTTTATGCACTTCAGGTATTTCTTTATTTCCCCTTCAAAATCAATATCCCTAATAAATGCTAAACAAGAATTATCACTCACATTTCAAGAGGTTTTATACCAAAGAATTATCAGTGCAACGACAATAAGCAACTAGCCACCTAAGCAAATTTTAAATCAAATTCAAAAATTATCTTTTCATGCTCAATAACACAGGATGGTGACAAATTCTGCTGTAAACTGTTCCTTGTTCACTCCTGATCATATACACACATGTATAAAGAACATTATAAAACATTTGAAATATAACATGCACACTGATTGGCTGGCTAACATGTTTATATCAGAGAACAAAGGCACATTCACAAAAAGATGTTCAAAAATATTTTATAAAAAGCAATAAAAAATGTCTACTTATGTCTCTGTACTGAGATATAAACACTGAGGGCTATAGAGCACTCAAAAAGCAAGAGAAAATCTTTGCTATAGCATATGATATTCCTAAGCTTGTTCGAGTCTCATGTTCTACAGCTCCTAGCATGTTTTATATCACAGTACAAATACAAGCACTTGTTTTGCATTCCTCAAATAGCTAGGTATGATGACAAAGACCTATTTTTGATGGTGATAATATATTTCATAAATGACTTTATTCCTGCTGAGCAGCACATCATTGTTATAATTTTTTTAATTATAGAACAAGTATTAATTGGTGCATTGAATGTTGAACATGAATGCTACAATTGAATACTTTGACTTTGAGAATTTTATAATCTCACTGACTAGAAATAAAGGCTGCTCGATGGCTGTAGATGATGCCAAGCCACAATAAACTGATCAGCATGCAAAGAACTCAGGTCAATTGGAAAGACCCACTATACATGTAGATAGGATGCACTTCGACAGACAGTACAGACGCTTTTAAGCTGTAGAGCACTCAAAAAGCAAGAGAAACACTTGGCTATGCTACCTGTTTTATCTAAGCTTGCTTGACTCTCACGCTCTACAGCACCCCATGTTTATATCACAGTAAAGAGACATGCTCTTGTGTTATATTCCTTAAATGTATAAATAGCAATCCATATTCCATATTCAATAACTGATTTATGTTCTTAATCAAATGAATTGGATTATTTCAATTAAGATATCATATATTTTACATTTCAAGTTGACTATTATTATTATTATTATTTGTTTATTGATGACGTCATATGACGTCAAAACGTAAATAATCAACCAATTTTATAACTTAATTATGCAGATGCCATGAGAAGCCTCGAAAGAAAATCGAGAATAAAACCTAAAATCCCCAAGGATTTCCTCATTATATGAATTAATACTGAATCATAGATATATTCTGCACCTTATGATGTTCTGGGGAGTTATTTTTTTGTCGAGGGAGGATACAAATTCACGATTTTCCATGATGTTTTTGACCACAAATGAACCAAAAACACACACGCCTTGAAAATACTTGCTCAAAAACCCAAAATAAAACAACTGAAATTCAAAATCCCTCGCTTACCTTTCGTCCTCCATCTTTTCATACGCCATTCTATTTTTTTCTTGGGTTAAAGTCTATCTGCATAACATTTAAAACGGTAAGAAGTTCGATGTCAGAATTACGTCCCCGCCATTTTTCCTTTTTGATGCGGGTCAACGGGTAAGTAGACATGCGCAGTAGGCTTCTATGACAGCTGGTAAATTTTTTGGAATCGAGGAGTAGATAAAGAGTAAAAGGAAAAGAAATATGAGGAAAAATAGGAGATAAATGGAAACTGCAAAATAAAATTTAAAATAAAAGGTAAAAATAAGAAGAAAAAAATGAACGTAAGAGAAGAGGAATGGAAAGAAAGGAAAAGGAAAGAAAGGAAAAGAAAAGAAAAGAAAGAAAGAGAAGAGAAGAGAAGAGAAGGGGAAGGAAGTGGATAACAAAAGTAGAAATCTAAATTTATCTAAAAACAGAGATGAAATAAGATTAAAGCGTATATGGGAATAGAATTGAAATGAAAAATGAGAAGGAATAGGATTAACAAACGGAATCAGGATAAAAATTAGAACTGCGAATGAATAGGGTTAATATAGAAAGGACAATTACAAAAATATGGTTAAAATGACATTTATTTAAAAACGATAGACCAAATTGGCATTGAAATCACAAAACTAAGTCTTAAAAATTCAAAGCATATAGTATTCCATCCTTTAAAATCAAAACAGCACAGTGTTCCTTCTACTGATGTTCGATAGAATTGCAACCAAAAGTGCTGGATTTTTAAAGAGAACTGAGAAAAAGCGAAGAATCTGGAGCAAAACCCTCAAAGTATTACGCGTATTGATTCATTAACTCATTTAAAACAGAACGAACCTTAGCTGATTAGAATCGATATTCTTATTACGTACATTGAAAAGAAGCGATTGACACTCCAGAAAAAATAATCTAGAAAATAATCGAGTGGGCACGAAATATGCAGCAAAATTCAAATCAACGTCTTCATTATCTTTCAAACTCAAAATCATCGTTTGAATATCTGGAAAGCGTAATTGTTTTTCTGTGTCTAAACATAAAAACTGGAGAGTTATTGTAGTGAACAACGATCAACTGTGTAGTTAATATGTAAGCGTGCTAGTGCTTTCTTGTTTAAACAAAAGAATCCAGTGATGAGAATGCATTTATTATTTATGTGGAATAAGGAAGGGCTAATTTTGAATATTTTTCGACCGACGAGATTATTTTCTTTTCCATCTAATTATCCTATRTRAGTGCAGTATAGGYTCTAAACTGATGGGKGAGGGGAGGGGAAGATTTGYTGAATACCACAGGTAGCCCAAGCTCTGTTTTCGGCATTCACCCAAATTCACAGAAAGCGCAAGCATTATATTCTTGTTTTCGGTAGCCTAACTACATAAAATATCTTAGGTATTCTTATGCAAATCATTACAATTAATTTCTTTGTATTAACTGAACAAAGTGTAAACAAGGCAAAAACGTGTGTGCGCTATAACTGAAAAAA